GACACATTCTATTTCTGTTCCAAGAAGTGTTTAATGTGGGAAGAAGAAGAAGAGGTTGAAGATTCTAACACAAGAATTTATTAACCGGAAATAAGAGCTACAAATGGATTTTTTTTTGAGACAATATGGTCATTTTAAATTATATTCTGAATCTGAAGAAGAATTTAACTTTCGATTTTTTTAAAAATTTTAAGACTTTAATTTTATAAATTAAAATTTGGATTTTAAATAATCTTTAATGAGTTAAACAAGATAATATCTAAGATCATTCAAAAACTTGACGGTTTTTAACGGTGAAAATTTTGAATTTTTTCGTTTTTTTCCAAACACTAACACAATGAAGCAAATTTTGCTTTGTGTGTGTGCAAATTTGTTTACAAACAAAAGAAAATCGTATGGTCGATTATGGTCGAGTATACTTTGTATGAGGTCATCTATAGATCTTGGAGTTGAATAAGAGTTGCTCTCTAACCAACAAGGGATAAATCTCTGCTCTAAAGAATTATTAATATCAGATCTAGATCTTTTAAGATAATAATAAAAGTTCGATTTATCCGAACAATTAAATTTCAATCTTAAATTGCTAAACCAATAAATTATTTAAAAAATCAAGTTCACCAATCAATAAATCCATTTGCTTAAAATCAATATTTCCCAACTAAAAAATCATGAAGAAGAACTTTAAAAATTTACAAAAAAGCATTTACAAAAGAAGAAGAAATGAGAAGAAAAAAAGTCTTAAAATTTATGATAATCCATTTATGGAGCCATAAAAAAGGTGCACTCTTCACTCGTTTTAGGACAAAATCGAAATCGTGATTATTTTATTGCTTTAATTTCTATTTCATTATTGACGATCCAACATTGACGACGACAACGATAAAAGTACAAAGAAAAGTGAAACATCAAAGCATCGTCAATGGCTTTGTCTTTATGCAAATGGTACCCTATAAAATGTGTACATATAGAATGAGTCTTTGCATGCATTGACCTTTGAATTTTAATGTAGAAAATGAAAATGAAAACACAAAAAAAACGCCCGCCCGAAAGCAGCAAAAAAATAGAAGCAGTTTATAAAGTTGCAGAACATTTTCTACTATAAAATAAAACAAGAGAGGAGGAGAACTAAAGAGAACATGAGATTACAAACGTAGCACTTAATAGATATGTAGGACATGTGTTTTTCAACTCCTTAAACATTCAACTCTATTACAAATTTATTTATGCAATGATTCTTATTGTTAATTTGCCATTTTATGTTTTTTATTCAGCATGTTATGAACTCGTATGCATCAAATGTGTGTGAATGATTTCTCAATTCAGAAATTCTCGAATCATGTAAGATTTTCATATCATCAGTTAAATGGAAATCATTTATGCAACATATGCATGCATGCCTGTGTGTTTATGCATTATGAAAATATTTATGGATGTATATAACTGATATGAAATGATTCACAAATTGCTTCTTATTTAAATAAACAAAGAAATATAATCAGGAACAAATAAGATCTCGTGACCTAAAAAAAATGAATTTACTTCTTGCTTTGATGCAGCAAGAATTTTTTTAAACAATTTTTTTAGACAGAAGAATGTTGAAAGCATGTGGGATTATTCATAAATGATGTGTATAAAAAAAATTTGACTTTTGAAGCTATTTTAAACTGGTAATTAAGAATGTGGCCTAGGTTAACTTCAAATGTATGGATCAGGGTTCTCCAAGACTATACACTAAAACAGTGTTGTCCAAACTGTGTGCCACGGCACACTAGTGTGCCATAGAAAATTTTTGAAAATAGGCCACTGAATAGTAAATTCTTTTTCTTTGACAACTACTACTACTAATACAACTAGAAATGGAAGTGCTTCACGAAAAACATAGTTTGAGAACAACTGGAATAATCCTAACCTATAATTTATGTTAAGCTCCAGTCCTTCTTTCTGCACCGTTTTATATTTCTCCCTTTAATCAAAGTTCCACTAGAGCCGCTACATCATTTTTAAATAACCCCCCAAAAAAAATCTATTCATAATTTTTCTTCACTGTCTCACGATTGCCATTTGATGATGAGGATGACGCCACGATATCAATCTCATTTTAATGCATCTCTTTCATCTGTCACTTTTAATTAACAAATGCAAGACTTTTTCCTCATTTCTGATTGTTTACAGCCTTCAATTTTATTCTTTCGTCAAATCCAATTTAGATTTTGTTTTTCAATCGAATGATGTGCATTGATTGATATTTTTGAGATTATTGAGTTATGAAATTGATGCATTATTGAAATGAGCAAATGCTATGCATAATTGGATGGGAATGAGATTAATATTTTAACGAGATTGTATTTTATGAGCGAAATTGATAAGAATATAAAGTCATTAATTCTTTTGTTTGGCGGCAATTTCATTTTTATTAGAGCTGTAAAACAATAATATAAAGCAATGGCACACTCTATTTACAAAGCTGATTTCACGATTCTTATCAAATATTTACTTTATGAATTACTAAGCACACAAACTGATAATGAAATTTGCAAGAATGTGATTACACATCGCTTGATATAATCTTTAAATAAATAAATCTGCAATCGCTAGAATTGCCTTTATCAAGTTAATCTCCTACAAAGTGGATTATTGAAATCTATAATTGTTTATTCTTCAGCTTAATTTCTACAAAAATACTACATTAGTGTTAATATTTCAATTCTTAGAAAGGGGAATCCCTGATACAAAAACTTGTCAATATGCCAAATCCTCAATTGTAAATATCAAACGATTCGAACCGAAATTGAGTGATTTTATGTGAAACAATAATGAAGAGTCTTTTTTGTTTACTTTAAAATTAAAAATCTCTTAAAACCAAACTAATCATTGAATTTTTGTTCGATCACTTAATAAATTTATTTTTCGTAAACCTTTCAAAATCATTTAAGTGCCAAAATTTCATGCGATTTAAAAAATTTTCAATCATGCCTGATGAGATTTGTGAAGTTATTAAGCAATATTTTTGGGGCAGTATTTTGATTGGCGCATCAACATTTAGTTTTGCGACTGTAAGTTAAACAATTGTTCCTTTCATATATTTTTGAATTTAATTATTTCTTCTACCGATAGCTTTTCGGACATATCGGAGTTCCAAGTAAGTAATTTGATAGATATTAATCAATTTTTTTGTGACCAATTCTATTTACATTCAAGTTGGTGCTACATTCACTAGCATAGTCGTGTATAGAATTTTGGAAAACCCCTAAATCAATTCTGTCAACTAGATTATCACTCTTGACTGACTTCATACAAATATTAACGCTTAAGATGAAAAGGAATAAGAATAGGGAACAGGCTGCAACAGATTAAATTTGATCATAATCTCAAAGAGTGAAAAAAGAAGAAAAATTCCGAATGGAATTAAAAATCTATTGATGCTGAGAAATGAGCAACAAAAGCAACAGCATACATTGTATATCTTCCCTCAAAGACTATAAAGTTGTATAAAATAAACCACATCGTCAATGTAAATAAAAACATTTTTGGTGACACGCCATAAAAAAATATTTCAATGGGACTGTTCATGAGTAGCATTTTTTGAATGAATAAAAGAATGAAGCATAAAAAGAACACATCACGATGCGAGAAGAGAATATTGTGACAAGCAAGAACACTGCAACATGTTTCATTTAAATTAGGGGTTTTTTGGGACGCAATTGTGTTTAAATTCATTCGTTTTTATGTCTATTGTATTTTAGATCTATTGAATCTATTGAAGAATGATGCAACTTGAGTACAGCATGTTGGGTTTTAATTAGATTTTATTCTATTGTTCTACAATAAGCTTAAGCGAGTATTTGGTGCAATTGTCTAGTCATTTAGGACTTTGAATTTAAAACTTCAACTTAGCTCATGAGTTTGAAACCCAGCAGAACTTCTTTATTTTGAATTGGAACTAAAGTTTCAGCTTTTCATTGAAGCTATAATCATGAACTTCAAAAGACTACAGATGAACCTAATGCTAGCAAACAGAAACTTTTGAGTTCTTATTATTCGAACTTCGAATTTTTGAGGTTCTCATTTTTCGAAAATCGAATCTTCGAAGTTCTTATTTTTAAAAAAATTCGTTGTGAATTATTATTTTTCGAGTAATTTGTAATTTTAGTGAACATTCCTACTAGTTTTTATGATTAAGATAATCACTGTGATGAAATTGCATTCCTTAAATGTTAATGCTTTAAAAAACAGCTAGTTTAAAAAAAATAAAAAGTAACGGACTTTCTTATTTTGAAAATTAAAAAAAAATACCGCGCGAAAATTTTAAATTTTTTTTTGTTTGTAACGGACTCTGTTCTCTTTGCTAACATTGAAGATGAACAATCCTCAATGCATCATATATTCAAACCAATAAAGCATCTTCCTGCATTAAACTATATTCAAAGTTTTTAAGGAAATAACCATAAATGTTAGAATTTTCAACAATCATTCAGCATTATGCTGCAAAAATTCATATTTACCCCACTTCCTCAATTACAAAAAAAATCATTGAAAACTTAAGCTATAAACCCAGTTCAAAATATCTCTCAAAAACAAATTGTTCAGTTCAAGTCTAATGCCATAAAGAACTTCAAGACAACTCCAGTAAATAAACCATTTAAAAGATAAATGGCATTTCAATTTAAACAACTTAAAAAAAAGAACAAAACGAAAGAAAAAGAGAGAGAAAATCATCATATGGGAAGCATGGCATGTGAATCGGAAAAAGGCGTGAGTTCATTCACCCAATTTGAAAACAATCACATGCTTTTCACACGACTGTTTTAAAATTGTTGATATCCAAACATGAAATAATGTGACATAAAATGTTGTATATTTTCACTTCCATTGACACCTTGGCCCTGGAGAAAAATCTTTCACCGCATACAAACTTCATATCTGTCATGGTTTTGTATAACTTGCGCAATAACATGTTAACCGCAAGACATAAAGGAAAATAGTAATTAAAATTCACTTACCATTTCATCCAAACTTTTTAAGTCATTGGTAACAATTTGTGGTGCGGGTCCATACATCAATATAGCTCCTTCATCATCACCCTCATCATCTGAATCGGAATCAAATTCTTCATCATTTTCTGTTCCTATTGCTGTTGTCTGCATGGTGTCTGTCTGTGTACCAAAGGCAACACCGTTTGCTTTGTTGTCTGCCGCTATTTCGCGATCAATTTGTCGTTCCATTTGTACTAACATTGGTGCTAGCATTCCTGTATGGTTATTCACAAGAAAGAGTAGTTATTAAGAATGTGCAATTAATTGGTGTGTCGTGGGGTGGGCCAATAGATTTTATGTTGCTGCAGCTGAGATATTGTTCAATCTGCTGGGTTCTTATCTGGTTTTTTGATTTTTGATAGATGCTTTTAAGCAGACAATATTGACCATAGTAATGGTTTTGTCAAGCATAATCAATGAAAATCTAAATTCTAAGCTTTGATCAAACAGACCCTATAGGCACCCTAAAGTAGAAGAATCAAAACAAGCCTCTAGTACTCCATAGCTAGAGTTTGAGTATGTTATACCCGAAAAACATTGTTAAAGGTAATTCTGAGAACCTCATAAACATTGCAGAACATAGATTCTATTGGCACACTCTGGAATTATTATGAAATAAGAAAAAAACTTTTCCTTACCAAATTTAGCTCCGCGTCGGGCAACTTCCAATAAGCATAAGATTACGTGTTTCTCATTCTTTCGCATTATAAGGTCGTCTGTTTCAAACAGTAGGCATTCAAAAATTTGCAAGCAATTTCTGCAAATGTGTGTGAATAGGAGAAATGAAAAGGAATAAAAAAAAAATTGAAAGTCAATAAATTAAAAAATAAAAATTCGTATTTTATTGGATTGCTCTTTTCTCATTCATTGCAAACTGGCTAAACAATTAATCAATTTATGCGAGTTGTAATAAAATAGTTATTTTTACAGAAAGTGCGACTACTATTCATTAGATCCAAGTGAGAAATAATGAAGTGATATAAAAAAAAGCTGTTAATTTTTATGTTTTTATTGTATCTTTGAATATGAGTTTATTCGATAAATGTGTATTTGCACAATTATTAATCCAATTTACAGAACGTTATTTCTATTCAATACTTTACTATTTTTTTCAAAATAGCTATCGTAATTTAGCGCTAACAAGACACTTGGGTCAAGTCGCAGTAGAATTAATGGAAATTAATATATTTTCGCAAATTGATTACTTGCACGAGCACTAACTCAATCCATTTAATTACCCATGTGACTGCTTTATGAATTGGAATTTTATTGTTGAAATTAACCGATCAAGAATAAATTAACGGTTGTGAAATTTTTGAAATAAAACGACTGTAATTATTTGCACACCCCTCTATTGGTTTTTTGTTTGTTTACATCTAAATTCCATCGAGTAAACATCAACAAGATCAGCTTTAATTTAATTATTAGATAGACTTAATGCATGCTTAATTACAGTATGTACGTGATGCTGAAATATGCATATTAAGTACAAGCACTAAGTCTGCACGAAGAGTTAAGTAGTTATTCATTTTACCCTGTCATTACTACACTCGCACTGCCCATTTTTTCTGGATATGTTTTTACCATTTTTGAATTGTCACTATCCAGTGCCTTAGAGGCAAAAGGTAAAGAAAAAGTATTTGAATATTGTGCGACAAAAACACACATGATTCGAGTACAAATGAAATGGATATGAAAAATTGTTCGGTCATAAACATTCATTAGAGCAAATTAATGGACAATGAGCGATTAATCACCGACATAATAAAAATAATTTCAATTCTCTTTCTTTCTATCTTTCTTACGTTTTCTATAACATTGGTAATCGACTGCGTCTACAGTCCACAACAGTATTGTACATAATTTTTGAAATAGTAAGCGCGCAAAAAAAATGTATTGGAATCAAAATTTATGAGAAAAATTCCAGAACTAGCTAACAAGATATCATGCTGAGATGATTTCAACATGTCTAATGATCAGCATATTCACTGACCAGCATGCAAGAAAATCTTATACTTTATAATGCTTCCGGATTCATCACTAACAGCAGTCGCATGACCCATCTTGATCTTAGATAGCTTACAATCAATATATCACTTACCTGCACCATGCGATGAAATTTGAGACATTATCTCGAGCAAAGAATGTGCCACATTTTGCTGCTGGCAAATAATGTACATTTCCCATGCTCAATATTGGACCAGCTAAGCCAGTCGTCATTGAACGGGTCATTGATTTTTGACGTGCTTGACGACGAACAAGATACTCCTCAGCTGCATGTCTGACATTGTTTGCGTGCTATATGTGAGAGAAAAACAGAAAATTGAATTGAATAATTGTGTCAAAAGTTTAATTTCAATTTCAATTCATCACCTCAATGGTGTAATGATGATTATTATAATAATGATTGTACCGTGCAAATGAGCGCAATATCAATTTTGACACTAGAGTAATCTTCTTCAATTTTTTATTACTTAACAACCATGCCAATGAATGGGTTCAAAGAAAAGCTTTTATAGTGCCAATTTTCATTGAAAAAGCGGCAATGACAAATCTACCATAATACAACAAAAATAATGTTTTTGCAAAGAATTTACTTTATGATTCATTAGATATTTCGTTATTGTTTTATGTTCAAACCTCCCAAATCCGGCGACTTAAACAAGCAATGAGAAGCTTTCCAAATACTTGACTTTCATACATTTTTTGATTTTTACCGCTTAATTCCCATGACTTTTTTCTGTCCTTATTTATGTCTTACAAGACAAAAGAAAATAGTTTTTTTGCAATAATTTTTACTGCTGGCTTTTGTTTTATAGGACAGAGACATATCTAATCATTAATTATAGTGATTAGTCAGCTCTCTTACAGCGTTACAGCCCTCTCTTTTCCATTTCTATAGAAGAAGAAAATTATTATTATTTTTTTGCGACCAGTCATTATTGCTATATGTAAATGTTTTGTGTACAAACTCTTTTTTTTTGCTTTTTGCTTCGTGACAGGAAATGAGCATTAAGTATATTTTAATAAATTGCCCGCATATTTTACATCATATTATTTTAATAAAAATTTGTTTTTTTTTTGAAATTGTACAAATTACTTTGGAAAGTTGGTCGAGTTCCTAAAGAATTAATGGCAGAAATATTCATTGGATGTATCCAGACATCCTGGTATCCTTAGTAAATTTTTGTTGATTTTTTTAAGAATTTAACATTATAGTTGAAAACAATATTAAACTCGGGTTTTAAGATGAATTTTATGTAGCTAAGACTGTTTAAGAGATTAAAAATGCAACAAAGAGATGAAAACTTACAAGAAAAATGAGTTCTAATTTAAACAACTACTAATTTCACAAATAAGAAGTTTATAGGTTTCTTCAGTTTAGATATTACAAATTCAACAATCTCTTGCATATACCCTGACTATAAAGATATAGATTAAAGTAAAGCAACAATTATAAGTGTCTAATAATTAAGTTAAAGTTGATTGCGTAATTGAATTCATAAAATTGAACTGAAAAACCCAAACAAGGTCGAGGGGCTTTTAAATAAGTTAACCTAAGAATATTCAAAATTTAATAAACCGTTTATTTAATTATTGACAACTAATCAACTTAATTTAGAGTAAAACCACTGAATAAAAGCATTACTATGCCTTGCATCATTCACATTTATGTTTATTTAACATATTTACCTATAATATATTTATTCAATTATTCGTTTATGCGTATAAATTATGGAATTATGGAGATCTTTTGTTTCGCTATGTGTCAATCATTCAACATAAATGGGATTTTAGCTGAAAAATATTGACAGTTCATTTCAATTTTCTACGAGAAAAGTTTCTTTGGCTTTGAAAGAAAGGCAATGAAGAAATGTATTTTATACGATTTATTGCTCATAGCGCCACATTGAATTCACATTTTGATTTAATAAGCGTATTTATTCATTCATGTTTCTTTTAAACATTTTAATAAATTTAAAAAACTTCTCTCATATTATTGTTAAATCCATAAAACAAATACAATTCATTCAATTTCCTGAAGTTTTAGATAAATACCAATAGTTTTTTTTTGCATTATTTATTAGACAACTCTATGCGAAAATAAATCAACACTAGCTTATGCGTCTGAAACGGATATTGTGTTCTTAGGATTGATTTGCATTTTACTGTCAATAGACGACTTTTTAAAATTTTAAAATTTTACCGAACAAAAAAAAATTTAAATTACAAAAACCCGTTACAAAATTAAACCTTTTATTTCCGTGTACCTGAATAAAAACCAAAATAGAATGTAAACAAAACAAATCTTAGATTATAATCTCGTTAGCTTACTAACCCAAACGATATCTAGCAAGTATGTCAAACTCAAAAATCTTGAGATTTATTTTGCGTGTCGCTTGGCTAACCAGTTCAATGATCCACACGCAACAGAAAAGCATTCCTAGAGCAACCGCCTCTTGAAATTTTATCTAGGAATCATTATCTCATCGAGGGAGTTTCTGTTTGCGGTAATAACAACATTAATAATTATACAGTCAGTCGATTTGTGATGACTGTCATTCATGTCAATTAGTGAGTCGAAAAAAATTTGAAAATTGGTGAACTGCCATGTCCATTACTCCACAGATGATTAAGTTAAAAATGGCAATCTCAAAACCGAAACAGTACACACAGAATGAGACACTCATCACCCACACTTTATTAAAATTGAATTGTACGCGCATATAGCGTAAAGTTATTTCATTTATGGTCATGACTGAATGGTTAGTGAACGCGAAATCTCTTGACATCTTGATAGTTCTTCGTCTTCTTCTTCTTCTTGATGGCGAAGATAATTAAATTTAAATAATTAACTGTTTGAATATTTAAGGAAAACATTCGACTTTAGTCTGAATTGCTTTTATTTGTTACAATCGTGTCCATGTTTGGAGGCCTTGGACTATTAAATTTGCATATATTTTTCATTTTTCATGTTGTTACTCCAAAAAAAAAGAGTTGTAGACTGACTGGAGAGGAAAGATCTCAAATTTCGGAACAAACCAGTCGAGAAGCTTTTCTGTTAATACAGTTATTGAGACGACAATAAAATTTCAAGCAATGAAATGATCGCCAACACAAAATATCAATAATGCTGAAAATTAGTTGTCGTAGCTACAAATCATAGTAATTGATCAAGGATGTGGAGATTAATTGATGATTTAAATAGGAAAGTGAAAATTTGCATGCTTATTTGTTTGTCATCATGACTGATTCACTGATTTTTTTTGATGGACAGGGTCACTAATTTTGGCAATGAAAGAGCTTCTTGGAATTTTTGTAAGAAGGAAACACTTTTTAAAATGTTACGATAGCTAACATGTATTATATTATTCAGTGACATTTCCTTTTTTTGCAGTTTCCTGCTTGAATTTTGCATAAATTTAACTTTTTTGCATTAACGAATCTTTAAGTTTCAAAATTCGGTTTAAATTTAACGAAGTATAGTTTTAGTCTGGTTTTGTTTTGGGCCGTTCACATTTTAGAGGGGAGGGGGGGTTTGAAAAATTGTAACATAATGTAACATAGGGGGGGGGGGTGTGTCAAGAAGTATGTAACGTTCTAACTGTCGTCTGTCTTTTAAAAAAAAGTTCACGAAAAAAAATTGTTTACAAATTCACACCAAAAATTTTTTTTTTAATTTTTCCACTTTTTTATCAAAATAAAATAAATTATGATCGTTCAGGGGGGGTTATGAGTTGTAACATATTGTAACAGGGGGGGAGGGGGGAGAAAAAGTCATTTTTTTGCGTAACGTAATAAGTGAACGGCCCCTTACAATTTCAATTTGTGTTTGATAAACTTCAAGGCTCTTCAAGGGAGGTATTTAATTAAATTTACTGATTCTTATGGCCTTAAAAGACAGTTTGTACCAGTTTGTACATAGATCTGTAGATAATAAAGACAAACATCAACAATCTATTGACCAAAAGCAACTCTCATCCAATGAGATCATCAAAATTTTCATAACAGTAAATTCCTGCTCCTTAATAACTCATGGTCGTTAGCCAATGCATTACATCATATTGAAATTGAATCCCCTTCAGAAGCCTCAACAGTTTATTTGCATAGCAATTTTGTAACACAAGAAATATGGTCAACAAACAATTCCAAAGCACGAAACACCGAGAAAAGTAATTAGTAAAACCTATCACATAAATCACACAGTTGCATATGATTGCGGGACGAGACAATAAAGATAATATCTATTATATCTCTCTTTTTTCTCCTTCTATAAAATCATTTAAAAATCCTGAGGAGCTAAGATCATAAATTCCAATATTAATAACATATATCGTCGCTTTCCTCGCTTCAATTGATTAATATTTTACATTTAAGATAATTTACGACTATAGGAGAGGCGCGTGCTAGAAAGGTGAAAAAACATAATGTTGTGGAAACATTGGATATAAATAATATAAAATAAATTAAATAAAATGAAAATTTTGAATGGGCATTGATTGTACTTTTTTTTGCAAAGTCTATTGTTTGGTTAATCTGGTATCAGATCACTATGACATAATTTTTATTGCTGTTTTAAGGAAAGACAGTCGGAATTTACGGTAATTACAGTAGTAGAGCAATAAAAGCTGATTTCTATGTTTACTAGAGATACTTTACCCTTAGTAGCTCTAGAAACCGACCCCTGAACTACTATAAATACCAACAGGGCAGACAGACTAAGGTTTAAGGTAGATCTCATGAATTTTTAGGTATAATAAGGAAGCATGGCTCGTACAGTCGTTCCTAGGATGATCTTAGTGCAAAACTACCACGAAGGTTCCCAAAAAGATGGCAGTTAACCTTAATTAAGTCATTATTGCAACTAAGATTTAAAAAAACAATCAATTCAATTAGAAACGATGACTTTCCTTAATTTTGTTTCATCAGAACCGTTTCTGAGCCCAAAAATCCATCAAATACATCTAAAAACATTGTCACAATCCGAGATCAACCTTGGACCAAATAATTGCAATTGTAAATCTACTTTAAATTATCACATGAAGCAAAAGCTTCTTCCAATTTTATTGTCTAAGCTTATGAAACTGTTTTTACTTTTTTATGTGCATTCCGATGCCATAAATATCCATCTACCCATCTATTTGTATTTTATTTTTCACTTTTATTGTTTCATAAAAAATAAAACGACAAAGAAAGAGCGTCAGTAAATATTTCGGAAATATTTTATTTCCAAAAAGACAAAACAAAGTGGCAAATGAAGAAAAAATTCACAGCTGACGAGTGTTGCATAATTCACA